ACTTCCTTGCGTACGGATGACAGCTACGTATGACTTAATTTATTTTCTGGTGCTTTCACATCCAGAGACAGTTGTAAGCACTGTGTAACTGCCTCGAGGAAGCTGGACCATTTTAACACAACGTGGTACGATCATCCCCCGTTGCGCGGAGTGAGGTTTCTCGACCCCGCACAACATGATCTACTCGACCACCATTATGGTTACCGCCAAAAAAAAAAAAACGAGGTAAAAAAAAAAAAAAAACGGTAACCTGGTTGCCGAGTTCACGAAGTGAATTGGCTTGTTTTACAACGTCGTTGCCAAGCGACGAAAACCCAATCCCGATGGCAAACACCGAGTGGGGGGGGGGGGGGACCCGCCTTCCCGAAAAATTAAGTTTTATGAGGAAATAAAACAGGGACGGGGTACCCAAACCTTTCTTCCTTATTCCTAACCCTAACCCAACTTCCCCGATTACATGCATTTGCCCATATATTTTTTTTAATCGAAAAACCCTGCGAAGTCTACTGGTTTAAGGGGGGGCGGGGGGGACCCAGTAAAAACCCGTTCACCCCCACGAGTGTAGGGGGGGGGGCAAGCCCAAAAGGGTACGGGGAGCGCACGCGTCTCGGAAGGGGGTGGGGGTGGGGGTAGCATAGCACGCGAGACTACGAAAACAATATAAAGCTCGTGTGGGCTACAAGATCCACGCGCAACACACCCGAACAGAGACGCTACACCAACACGCAAGACACCAATAAGAATCAGTAATGGTTGTATCTTACGGCACCAAGACCCCTAAAACACAACAAGCCCAGGCTCAGCATGGCGGGAAGTAAGAACAGGTCGTGCGCCTTAGAGCACCACCGCACAGTTGGTTGGCGAGCAGCGCAGCACAAAAAAAATGTACGCTGAGATTGCGCCGCATCCGGGGGCGGGGGGGGGGGAGGGGCAGATCTGTCGTGACAGGGTCTTAGTCTCACCCCAAAGCGAAGATGTGGCGGACGTTCGGAAAGAGACGAGAGATCGCGCGCAGTACGAGAAACCCCTCGGGATTCTTGTACGGCGGGTCTATGTGCAAGCACAACCCCCCGGTTTTCTGATTCGAGGTATAGTACATGTATTCGAGTTCTAAGGCGACGGGCTACAGCACGTCGATGGTGCCGACAATGACCAATAGCACCATCATTGTAGCAACAACAATACGTGGAGAGAGAGACAAAATAGGAGAAAGAAATAGGCAGATAGAGAGGGAGAGAGAGAGAGAGACAAAGACAGAGAGAGGGTCAAAGAGAGAGAGAGAGAAAGAGAGAGAGAGAGAGAGAGACAAAAGAAAGAGAGAGGGTCAAAGGAAGAGAGCGAGAGAGAGAGTCAAGAAAAAGAGAGAGACAGAGACAGAGTCAAGAGAGAGAGAGTCAAGAGAGAGAGAGCAAGAGACAGAGACAGAGACAGAGACAGAGAAGCGAGCGCACCTCCCCCGTGGCCGCCTCCCAAGCCTCGCTGAACGCGTCCGCGACTTCGACAGGCAGGTACATATCCGTGGTACCGCTGTCCACGATAGTCCCGGTCCCCAGGGAGAATAATTCCAAAGTCTCGGCGGTAACGATGGACCTGCCTCCAAGCGCGACGCCAAAAACCTGTACGGAGGAGCGGCGGCGGCGGCGGCGGTCCGTACGAAGCACGCGTGCTCAGCGGCAACGGTACCCGCACCGTGAGTCCGACACCGACCGGCTAACAGCAGCACAAGCAAAAAAGCAGCCGTCCGCCCCGGGGAAAGGCTGACAGAGCAAAAGTAAACCACGGGAACAAACGCAAAATCGATCCCCTGGATACCGTAGCTAGCAGCGCCCGTGCTGCTCTTACAAGCGCAGAACACGGCGGTATCACACGGACGTCACAGCATTTTGTAGCCACCTTTGGCAAACAACAAAGCCAAGGAACGAACGAACGGCCGGCCATCGGTGATCGGTCCTCCCGTGGGAACAACGATCCGTCATCTCGGAGGAATCGCCGTCAATGGTCTAAACAACACCTAAGGCTGGCAAAACATGCCTACTGTACGTGCCCTCCCTCTATGGGTGGGGGGGGGGGGGGGGG